ATCGCAACTTTTAAGTACGAAAGTAGTACGCGAAGTCAATTTCGCAGCTGGGGCTTGAAAATCGCAACTTTTAAGTACGAAAGTAGTGCGCAAAGTCCACTTTCGCAGCCGGGGCTTGAAAATCGCAACTTTTAAGTACGAAAGTAGTACGCAAAGTCCACTTTCGCAGCTGGGGCTCGAAAATCGCGACTTTTTAGTACGAAAGTAGTGCGCGAAGTCCACTTTCGTAGCTGGACTTCGAAAATCGCAACTTTTAACTACGAAAGTAGTAACTCCGAAAGTCAACTTTCGGGAATGAACACATCGCAACTTTTAAGTGCAGAGAAAGATGGGTAGATAGATAGATCAATAAACAGATATAGAGATAGCTAGAGAGATAGATAGAAAGAGAGAGAAAAAGACAGAGAAACAGAAAGAGAAAGAGAAAGAGAAAGAGAAAGAGAGAAAAAGAGAAAGAGAGAAAAAGAGAGAGAGAGAGAGAGAGAGAAGCAAGGGACCAAGGACAGTTCTCCAAACTATAGTTGTTCACTGCTTTGAAACTTCCGCCCCCCGGCTCTGCCGGACCTTACTTGTATATATGATAAGCTTTTAACTTACGATTGTATTTTTGATTTATTGTGTTTTTTGGGGGTCTATTTTTGATTAGTATTTTTTATTTGTTTTTGTAATTTGAGAATGGCATTAAAATGATTTATGTTTTATATATATTAGAAATAGAATTTTTTTTTTAAAAAAAAAAAACATTATTATTTGTTTATTTGTTATGGATTCATTGATATGGTTATTTTGGTATTTTAGATAACGTTTAAATTATTATTTAATTCGAGGAGTTAATTCTTTTATTGAAGTTATCGATGAATAGTGAAAGAATGAAAGAGGAGAGAACGAGGGAGAGAGGGAGCCTGCTGCGGGGCTGGTAGTCTAGTGGTTTTGCGTTCGTCTCTGAAATGGATGGTTCCGGGTTCGGTTTTTTCTTGGCGCGTGCCTTGTTTTGCGTGGCGTCGTTGTGGTTTTGGGCTGCCGGGCGTCGATTTTTCGTGCCCCTTGTTGCGATGTTCTACTTCCGGTTGAAGCGCTCTTGTTGCGGCGCGGCGCCGTTTTTCTTGAAGAAGCGCTAAGCCAATGGCTGAAGGTTATGTCCCGCCGCCAAAAGAGCGTTGGCTACAGGGCGCGCTCCAGCCTACGCCGCTCTAGGAAGGCTAGTCGGCGCCGCCAGGTTGTTCTATCCGCCTCCGGGCGCTCCTCCAAGAACGTTTTGTGCTCTCGCAGAAACTCGCCGTACGCGGAGTCCTCGGCCTGGCGCAGGTACTCATAGGCCATCTTCGTCTTGCGCCGCATCTCCTTGTCCGGCAACTCCCGGATCGCCGCCCTGACTTTCGTCTCTTTCTAGCGTAGGCGCAGCATGTGCGCGTGGATGCGGTAGCCGGTCCCATGTTTAGTCCGCTGCTCGAAGCCGACGTTAACCTCCAAGGGCGAGAGCTTCTGCGCGGCCTCCTTTGACAGGCCGCGAAGAGGTTCGGGCACGTCCGCAAGCTTGGGCGCTGGGTGATCTCGAGCGCTCCGATAACGACGGCATTGCAAGGGCGGCGCCGTGACCTTCTGATCTCTTGTCAGGCTTTTTTGCGTGAGGTCGCGGGCAAGCATCAAGCCGCAGGCCTCACATTGCGCCCAGGCGCAGTGGAGCGCCCAGCGCTCCAGGCCGGCGGCCTTGGCGGAGCGCTTGGCCGGCGGCGCAGGCGCGGAGTTATCCACGACGGCGCCGGGAGCTGCCCGCTCCTTCGGGCGCCCGGCGTGCTTCCGGCCACGGGCCTTATCCGCCAGAACCCGCTCCCGATAGATCTTCTTCTGCGCTGCCGTGGCTGGCGCCTTAGGGCTGCGGCGCCCAGCGGCTTGCGAGCTCTGCCAGCGGGGGCGGGGCGCCCAGCCGCCGTTGCTTGGGCTTGAGCAGCGTTTGGATGTCAGCTCGGGTCCGCGCGCCCGCGATCTCCTCGACACCTCCCAGCATGTCCACCTTGGCCCCAACTGCAACAGGGTCGCAGAAGAGGCAGCTGCCCGCCTGGCGCTTCTCCACACGCGCAGGGCCGCCGGTCTTTTGCAAGGCGAAGACACAGGCCTCGCCTTCAAACCCACCGCAAAACCTGGCAGAGGCCAAGCCGCGGGAGAAGTGGCCTTTGTACTCCGTAGGGACTTGCTCCAGAGCGATGTTGCGGAAGATGGGTTCGGTCATCGCCTTCAAGCTCCGCAAGACAGACCGTCGACCGCTGGCCGCCAGGCAAGCCGTTTCCATGGCCTCGTGGTCGCAGAACATGCAGCACTCAGCCCCGGCGGCTACCCGTTGCCGGCCCCCCATCTTGGCGAAGCAGCAGTCCGTGTTCTGACATAGGCGCGGCATGGCGGCAAACAAACCAATTTTTGATCTAGCGACAGAAATCGTTGAGCCGAGAGATGCTAGCCGGACCGGAGCGGACGCTCAAGCCAAAACCGAAGTTTCCGGACCTGTGCAAATGGCCTTCAAAAAACCGACAGCCGCAGATCGATTCGTGAAGCGAGAACAAGCGAGCTTGTACAGCGATCGCCCCTGGCCTCCTGCAATGAAAAAGTGCTTCGACAAAGCTCCCCAGGCGGAGCTTGCAGCAGACAAGCCCGCCGGCCGCTGTCCAATCTTCTCCGGCTGCAGGCCGTTCTTCGTGTCCTGAGAAAGGCGGACGAGGATGGCGGGGCTCGACCGACAACCGAAACTCTGAGCTAGCTCGTGTTTCATCAACTCAGACCCGCCTACCGTGTTTTGCGTTTAACTGTCTGCGCTCGCTGCTGCCAAGCGGCGCCTATTTACTTAAGCGACGGCCCCATGGAGCACCGCCCGCACCCCCGTGTCAAGTAGCAGTTTCGACGCGGGGTCGGGCGGCTTCTTTTGCAGCCGCAGCGCGCAAGAAGCCGCTCGAGAACGGGCGGCCCCCAGAGGGGACCGACGCGGCGTTAACACCACTATCAAAGGTTTTGCAAACACGATGTTCGTTTTGCCGCGGTCGGGGCTGGCCAAATCTGCCGGCGGCGGCTTAGCCCAGCTGTTTTCGCGCTACTAAACGCAATAGTAGCGGGGCCCCCCGCTACCTGTCGGTAGCGGGGCGTAGCGGGGCGTTGCGGGGGGGTCCTACGGCCGTAGCGGGGCAGCGGTAGCGGGGCCTGTAGCGGGGCCCCGCCGCGACGGTAGCGGCGCTACGCCCCGCTACGAGCGGTGGTAACGGGGCCCGTAGCGGGGTCCCCCCGCTACAGTAACGGGGACCATCGATGGCCGTTTTATCAAGGCCGGCCAACCTAATGGCCGATTTAAGAATCCAAGCTAGTTAAGACTCAGTGGCATGGCCGCTTTATCAAATGGCCGTATTATGAAGCCTGGCAAGTGTTGCTAAGGCCGGCCAACCCAATGGCCGCTTTATCAAGGCCAATGGCCGCTTTATTAAGGCGTTATAAAGGAGGACTCATACGTTCAGCCCCCCTTAGACCAGAGGGTTTAAGGTTATTTTCTTTGGAGCAAGCCTGACGCTTGTGCGCCACGACAGTGGCTCCATGCGCGCGCCCGCCTCACCGGCGGGCGCCACGCGCGTCGCCTCGTCCCGCTCATCGCGGGTCTGCTCGGCTCCCGCCGCCAGCGGCGCCCACTCGCCGTGGTTCGCGCCTCGCTTTGTTTAGGGTTTAGGGTTTGCTTAGATAAAGCGCACGCCTCGACGCTAGGGGCGTCGGGGCGGCGTTGCGTTAAGCATTCCCCCCACCCCTGACCACCTAGCTCTTACCCTTTGTCGGGTTTAGGGTTTCTTTGATCCAAGATAGACTCCGCACAGCCTCCGGCGCTTATGGGGCAACGAGGGGCCTTCCGCCCCCGCAATCAGATTGCGACGGGCCATAGTGGCAAACAGCTTCCGCTTCCGCGCGCGCGGCACTCCCGTGATTGGACTGCGGACCATAAAAGGGGGGGGCTGAGAAATTTGTGCCCTGTCATCAGTCGTTGCGCCAACTTCCCGCGCACGTGCTTTTTGTAGGGCGAGCCAGTTGAGTTAAACTCGAAAAAGGATTGCAGCGGGCCATGCTGAAAAATGCTTCAGTTTCCGCGCACGCGGCACTCCCGTGATCCGGCACTCCCGTGATCGGATTGCGGAGCAAGCCATAAGAGGGGCGGGCGCTAACTTCTGGCGCGCGTGCTTTTGGTAGGGCAAGCCAGCTTGCGACGGGCCATGTTGAAAAAAAACTTCAGTTTCCGCGCACGCGGCACTCCCGTGATCGGACTGCGGAGCGAGCCATAAGGGGGGGGGCTTAGAAATTTGCGCCCCGTCATTAGTCGTTGCGCCAACTTCCCGACGCGCTTTTTGTAGGGCGAGCCAGCGTAGCTCGACAAAGGATTGCGGCGGGCCATATTGGAAAAAAGCTTCAGTTTCCGCGTACGCGGCACTCTCGGATTGCGGAGCGAGCCATAGCTTAGAAATTCGCGCCCTATTATCATCGTTGCGCCAACTTCCCGCGCACGTGCTTTTTGTAGGACAAGCCAGCTTAGCTCGAAAAAGGATTGTGGCGGGCCATATTGGAAAAAAGCTTCAGTTTCCGCGCACGCGGCACTCCCGTGATCGGATTGCGGAGAGAGCCATAAGAAGGGGGGGCTGAGAAATTTGCGCCCTGTCATCAGTCGTTGCGCAACTTCCCGCGCGCATGCTTTTTGTAGGGCGAGCCAGCTTAGGTCGAAAAAGGATTGCGGCGGGCCATATTGGAAAAAAACTTCAGTTTCCGCGCACGCGGCACTCCCGTGATCGGATTGCGGAGCGAACACCAAGAAGGGGGGGCTTAGAAATTTGCGCCCTGTCATCAGTCGTTGCGTAACTTCCCGCGCGCGTGCTTTTTGTAGGGCGAGCCAGCTTAGCTCGAAAAAGGACTGTGGCGAGCCATATTGGAAAAAAGCCTCAGTTTCCGCGCACGCGGCACTCCCGTGATCGGATTGCGGAGCGAGCACCAAGAGCGGGGGGGCTTTGAAATTTGCGCCCTGTCAGCATCCTTGCGTCAATTTCCCGCGCACGTGCTTTTTGTGGGGCAGCTTAACTGGAAAATGACTGCGGTGGGCCATTTTGGACAAAAGCTTCAGTGTTTCAGTGTCCGCGCGCGCGGCACTCCCCAAGCCATTTTCAGCAGAAGCCGGCCCAATGGCCGTTTTATCAAGGCCAGGCCCAATAACCATTTTATCAAGGCCTTGTCCGTTTTATCAAGGCAGATGCAGCCACATAGCCAGACATCCAGATTTGAGCTGCGCGTTGGAAATTCTATATTACCCCGCACAATCAGTTTATCAGCGATCGGGCCAAGCCATTTTCAGCAGAAGCCGGCCCAATGGCCGTTTTATCAAGGCCCACATGTAAGCTGCGTCTTATCAAAGCCTGTCCTTGACAACTAGTCTTATCGCCCCCAATGGCCGTTTTATCAAGCCAAGGCAGCCCGTGGACCGTTTTATCGCCCGTAGACCGTTTTATCGCCCGTAGACCGTTTTATCAAAAACGGCCATTGGGAGGATTCCGACGCTCTGGAAATGTGAAGGTTTAGGGTAATTCTGTTTCAGGCAAGCCTGTCGCTTGCCGCGCTGCGTTCAGCAGCTCCATGCGCGCGCCCGCCTCAACGGCGGGTGACTGCGCGTCGCCTCGCCCCGTTTCACCGCGGGTTTGTTCGGCTCCCTCCGCCAGCGAAGCTGTGCGTCGTAGCGCTCGGCGCCCACTCACCGTGGTTCGTGCCTCGCTTTGTTTAGGGTTTAGGGTTTAGGATTTAGGGTTTGCCCTCGGAAGCGGCGCGCCTCGACCCAGAGGGTCGCGGGGCAGCGCGCCGAGGCGGCTGCTTCAACCCACCCCAATACCGCCCAGAGACAAATCTTTTAGGGTTTAGGGTTTCAATTTGGACCCCGGCAGGGCGAGTGAAAAGGGAAGCGCTTGATCGCGCGAAGATAACAAGCACGCTTGACATTCGCAAATTTATTCTGCGACAGCTAGAGCTCAAAGAGTCGCGATGCGGCCACGTTGCTTGGCCAACTCGCGCCGCTTCATAAGGAAACGCGACGCAGCGGTTTGAGGCTTGCGCAGGCCGGCAAGGAGTCAACAGCTGGCTGTAGCGACTTTGCCGCGAGCGCCGGCGGCTGGCTGCGACAACTTCGCCGCGAGCAAGCGGCGGAGGATAGTTCAAGCGAAGGCTGCAGCGATTTACTCGCTTGCGCTAGCCGAGCGCTGCAGCTGGAGCAAGTTGAGTCGCAGAAGCGTTTGCCGCGTGAAAGTTGCGGCTGCGCTGGCTTGAGCCCAAAGCTTCACTGCGCTAGACTGGGGCGGTCGCGCGCGCTTGGGCTTCGCAAGCGGTCGTCGCGCGCGGAGCTGCTCTGCTTGCAAAGGCCGGCGAGGGGCCGACGGCTGTAACGACTTTGAGCGAGCGTTCGGCCCTAGTTGAGGCCAAGGCTGCAGCGATTTCAACGCTAGGAGTTGGTTGCAGGCGCAGCCGCGACGGTTGGAGCCCAAAGCTTTGCTCTGGGGCAGTCGCGCGCGCTGGCCGCGTCGCTTGGTCGACTCGCCGCGGGCTCCTTCGTAGAAAGGAGGCGACGCGTGGGCGATCTGCTTGAGGTCGGCAACAGAGGCTGGCAACAAGCCGTCGTCCGTTCGGCTGCGTTGGAAGTGCAAGGCGGCAGCGACGGATCAGTTATAGGGGCCATCGTTCAGGGCGCGGCTTCTGCAATTTCGTCGCGAGCGCTAGGGCCATAGCGCAGGCCACGGCTTCAACGATTTCGCCGCGGGCGTGCCTTGCCTTATAAGGAAAAGCTTTGCAAGGAAAACGGCCGGAACAGATTTGTCGCAAAGCCCTTTTGGTGTTATCAAGGATTTTTGCTGGCTTAATGGCCAGATCTCCTGATTTGGGCTACGGGTCGCCAGATTCATATGACCCCGTATAAAGAATTTATCAGCGGCCGGGCCAAGCCATCCAGGCAATGGCCGTTTTATCAAGGCCGATGGCGATTTTATCAAAGCCAATGGCCATTTTATCAAGGCCAATAACCATTTTATCAAGCTAAAAGGAAGCGCGACTTTAGAGCTGGGTTAGGGTCTAGGACCTAGGTTTTAGGGTAATAGAATATCGCTTTGCATATTCTGTGCCTGCAGGCACGGGCCCAAGAGGAGGGAGGCCCTTGGGGCAGCTGCATACTTGCTGGCCGGAGCTATTGCCGGGGCGCTAAGCGCGCCGTGCGCTCACGACTCCATGGCGCTCTAAGCGAGCGGTCAGTCGTCGCGAGCTTAAGTTTAGGGTTTAGGGTTTAGGGTTTAGGGTCAATCCGATTTCAGGAAACGAGCAACACTTGGAACGTTGGACCCACAGCTGTTGGCTGGAAAA